GAATATTTCTGAATAAGTTGATTCTGATAAAGGAATCTCGTGTACTTCTTAATAAATACTTTTCACAAAGATATCTCATTTAATTCTGGTTATATACAATGAATAAGATATTACTACCTACACTATTTTACAGATACAAAAATTAAGTCTTGGGGAGATTATGTAAATTCCTCAAAATCATGCTGCTACCAAATATTAGCAAGATTTGAATAAAACCTTTGGAAAAGATAGCATCATGACTTCTAGAAAAAGATAGTGAAGTGGGCCTTTGGTGTTGAAACCAGCACTCACTAGTGTTGTGTCTCTTAAGCCAGACTCTCTGTTGCCTTCAAGAACAGAACAGACTAGCAAACACTAAGAAGGAATGCCCTTGAGAAAAATGAGTTATTGTTTAAAAGATTTGAACAGTTTTGATCAAGAAGATCAGTTACTGCCTGGAGGAAAGAAAGTAAAGTAAGAATAGTGCCTGATGGGTAAATGAGAAATTTGTTTATAATAATAAACATAACAGCTACTGCTGTTAAGGAATAATCTCATTCGAGCATGTTTCTAGACACTTTCCATGGATTGGTTAATTTATTCTAAAGTTGGGAAGATGTTGATCATTCCTGAGGTCTGGCCAGAATATTTACATGTGCTATGCAAATGCATGGGAAATAAGAATCCAGAACAAAACAGATATCTGCTGCTGGTTTTCAGAAGGAGTTGACTAATACACAGAAAGGCACCTGGGAAGATGACTCTCATCTTAAGATGCTATGGGCCTAAAGATGCAAAATGTCACCTGTCTCATCTCAGAACTAAGGAAGCATGATGGCCTGCTTCAGAGGAGCAGAACCTTTGAAGGAAGTTAGGAAAATGCCTGCCTACCCATTGATTCAGGGACATGTCTGAATTGAAGAGTCCAGGGCAGGGGTGGTGGAATAAGCAAAGTAGAACAACCCAGCCAGAGACAACGGGGCTAACTGGAATCTAAAGCCCAGACCAAAAGCTAACAATTGCTAAAGGGACTGAGAAAGCTGCCAAACCTGGCAGTGGTCCCAGCCAGACCCAACATGTGCCAATGTCAAGGCAGTTGATCTAGTATTCAAACCAAATAGTTTGAATAGATCTAACCTCAATCAGATCCAAAGCAACAAGAGCCTTACTAATCCTACTTCCATTTCTATGAAGCCTAGAATTACTACTAACAACGACAACAACAAAAAAGCCCTGGTTTCTTTCTATTGTTTGTTCTGCATTGTTAATCACTGTTTCTGTAGGCAACAGCAATAGAGAACCTTTTTTAAAATACCTGAAGTATTCTATGCCTATGTCAAAGCAAACACACGGGAAAGAATTAGGAAGCAGCTCCTGCCTGGTAGGTAACCTTGAAAGAAGAGGCCAGGTTCAGGAGTAAGTGGAGGCAAAAACTGGTAGGACCAAAGAGCTCACATTTCTCATATTGATAGAGAAAAAGGGGGAGGTGGTAATTTGAAGATAAAACTCAGAGGGGTCCAATCAGGAGCACGCCATGGGCCCCTATATATACAAAAGAGACCCTATCCAAGAAAAGCCAGGGAGTAGCAGCATGAGCCCTAGGAGCCACCACCCTGCTTGGAGCTGGCACCTTCTCCAACCCCTGATCTATTTGATGGGGCCCATGAATTCCCAGTGTGGTTTAGGGTCCACAACAGCCATTGAGCCAAGAGTAAAACCAATGAAGGAGACAGACCATTCTGTAAGACAGCTTCCTTTCTCCTTTGCTAACAAATGGGTGTTGGTATCACTTACTACAAGGCATAGGAAATAAATCAGGACTATATCCATGAGTTTCCTCCCAGTAGTAAGCTACAGAGCAGGTATCATTCCAGAATCCATTCTGACTCATGAAATCTTTCCTAATCATGCTTAAATATATTGTGTGTTACTATGTATTATTAATATTCTAAACATTTACATAATGTCATTTCATTTGTCATTTCATCATGTGTTTTATAGACATCGAAACTAAGTACTAAACTACCTTTTTTATTAGAAAGAAGAAACAACTTTTCACTAATAAAAAATGAAGTTATTAAATTGGATTGAAAAAAAAGGAAATTCACAATCTAGGTCTGATGGGATGACTAGTACACCACTTCTCAAAAGACTTCTGTACTCCCAGACCATAGAGCGCTGGGAAGTGATGCACAGTAGCAGACCATTTTATAGTATTTCTACTGTACAGACTCAATAATAGATGGAAATTACCTCAAGAGTACAGATTACAATAAAATATAGTGAAATAAGTCGGAAGTGGTAAATTTGAGTATTTATTACATGAGTTTTTAATATAGTTATTTAATTAGATGTTTACATAATTTAATTTTTAATAGAAGCTGTATTTAACCAGTGTGCAAAATTTTTTATAACAATTGGCTCTTCTGAGTAGATAAGAGCTAGCTCTAGCACACCTCTGGGAAATGAAAAAATTCCCAACTCTGAAGTATCTCCATAAATTTCAGCTATTTATCACACTGTTGCTCGCATAAAGCTGACTATATCACTGGCTCTATTTTCCAACCTGTTCTAGAAGACCAAGGTGACTTCAGTTTATCTAGACTTTACATGAGGATATTAGAATATAGCTCCAACTACAATAGGCATGAGATTCAGGCTTAAATAGCAGCAACAGTTATATAATTCTTTATTTTAAAAGTTTATTCTAAGAACATTTTGTAGTTGTTAAAGATATTAAGTGATTAAACTCCAAGATATAAAGGCAACTGTGTAAACTTGCACATTTAGAACAAGCACCTTTACAAAGCCAAAAATTTGCCATCCGATAGTTTATAATAATGTATCTTGGAGGCACATGAAATTCACTGCTATAGAATGTCTCAAAGCCAAATCTTGCCTGTGATATTTTAAAAGGAGTTGGATAACACAAAGGCCAATAATAATAGGTTTTAAAAGACCTAATGGTATCCCATGCTTCAGGGTGTAAGGTGATCCGTTGAAGAGCCAGAAAGGAACTGCCTGCCCTCCCTATTGCTTTCTGCCCAGCACATATAACATTTCACAAGTGAAAAGGTGAATGACAAAGGCAATTTCAACTTTCCTCTGAAGTACAGAGATCTACTGATAAAATGAGGAGCTGTATCAACTCACTAGCTGTGTTCCACATCCACATACTGTGGAAGGTCAGTACTAATAACAGGACCGATTTCAAGCTACCACGAGATACTGGCCTCCAAAATTCATCTGTTTGTAATTTTGACTCTGCCTGCAATTCCAAGAACTGCAGTGGTCGAAAGCATTCTCACAGTACTCATCCTTCCTCTTCTCTTCACAAATACGACATTTGAAAACACAACGCACTTTTTTACCTCTTTATACTCTTACCTCTTTATACCACCAACCCCACAATTCAAAAAAAAAAAAAAAACAAATTCCCAATTGTTTAAATTTCATTTTATGTGAGAAAGAGTATTATTATATATGATATACAAGAGGGACTTCAACTTGAATTGCCTTAATTTCAAAAATATGGGTTGTTTAAAATGAAATACATTTTAACATCAGCTGTTAAAATTATTCACCCTATAACCTTTTCAGTCATTAAACAACCTTTTTCTTCAAAAACCATTTTTTACAAAACCAGTAAATAAAGTGGAGACACGCAAAAACCAAAACATTTCCTGTCAGCAGCAATATTCCAGGTAATAGTAGAATCATTAAATTGTAGTAGGAATGTTCCAGATTAGATTATCTTTTGTGATTTTTTTTTTAAATAGGGATTGAACCCTGGGGCACTTAACCCCAGAGCCACATCCCCAGCCCTATTTTGTATTTTATTTTGAGACAAGGTCTTGCTGTGTTGCTTAGGGCTTTGCTAAGTTGCTGAGGCTGGCTTTGAACTCGTGATCCTCCTGTCTCAGCCTCCCAAACCACTGTGAAATTTCTTTACAAAGAGCATTTCTATTCTATTTATTTGTTTGTAACCAGTTTCTCTTAAGAAATATAACTGAGAAAGTACATTTGTAGTAAGCTCTCTTCCAATTATTCACATTAACACTAAGTCAGAAAACCCCATTTCTGGAAGCAGAGTGGCTGAGTTGGAATTCGGTCTACACAATTCTCTCAATCCACCTTTTCCATGACAACATGTTCATGTTCTGAAAGTGCAACTGAACACAATTAAATAGAACCTCCCATATCTACTCATTTCTCTTGACACTAAACAAGATAGGCAGAATGGAAGTACAGACCCAGTTCTACTACCCCAGTGCTTAGCAACTCTGCCCACCACACCTTCATTTCCCATGCTTCATGGAAATTAAATTCTCCTTTCTCAGGCTGCACCCAATCATGAAATTTATTTAAAACAAAGAGAATAATCCAGAAGATAGAACTTTTATCAGGAAACTCTCATAAATGCAATAAAGTATGAATAGGACATAGTGCCTTCCCTACTATTATATAATTGGGTTAATAACCCATCCTGAATACTTATTTTCCCATGATTATAACCTACGAAAAGAAAAGTTGGTTTTTTTAAAGTAGCAAAACAATTATTGAGTCTTACTTTATGAAGTGATCATTTATAGGCTGGATGCTGTCACACACCAAGAAAACACCTCATTACATGAGATTTCAAGACATTTATCATATCTTACTATATTCTCCTAATTCTGGTAAACCATCATGTTGAAAAATACTACCTAAAGTACTCAAGATATATAAGCTTCCTGATGCATCTGAAATATGTGGTTGGATCATCATAGTTATTACCAAACCATATCAGTCCATCAGAAGAGATATATATGGAGCAAGCCAGGCACTATGGCTTTTTCAGCCTACAGTAGCAGTGAAATCCTTCCAGCAAGTCTATAAACTGCCCCCCTGGATAAAAACTATCATGAGATGACTGTGTCATATGAACTTGAAAAAGGAAGAAATGTGGAGGAAAAGATGACGAGAAGTGGAAGAAAGGTGAGACAGGTAAGAGAAAGCAGCAGCCAATGGCCCTGCATTACCATTATCAGGGTTGGTAAACATCCTACTTGCACTGGAGACTGTCTTCCCAATGTCAGCCAGAGACCGGAGGTTGGATTTCTTGGTTTGATGACGGTGCTTCCGGAGCAAAGTATAGGTCACCTTATCCTTAAGGTCAGGTTTCAAGAGGCCTGTCTCAATCTGATGGTCAACAATCATCTCTAATACAAAAAGAAAGTGAAACAAAAATAAAACTTAGTCATGAAACATGATTTTTTTACTCCAGCTTCATGGTTGTCACCCTCAAATTTAATATCAATGTATTAACTTCCTACTTTATGTAAAGGATAAAGATACAAGGTACAGGGATACTGGTTTTAATGAGAGTTAAAAATATTCTAGTAATAATTGTATGTTTGGGAAGGTAAAATTGTCTTGTTCATTATCCTTCATCCAAGTTGAGCGATTTCACATAAATTACATTCTACTTCTATGAGTTAATAATTTACATTTTTATCTAAAATAAACTGGAAAATTTTCATGCACTATTATGTGTTAGAAATATTAATGGTATGAAAAACTTAAGAATGTGTAAATTTAAAAGTAAGATTAAACCTTAATTTTTTAAATTTTTAAAAACTTTTAAATCTATTTTTCCAAATTCTCCTAAGAGGTTGCGATTTCTTTACAAGAAAACGACAGAGAGCTGGGTCTGGGGCTCAGTACATGTGAGGTACTAGGATCAATCCTTAGCACTGCATAAAAATAAAATAAAGGCACACTGTCCATCTACAACTACAAAAAAATTTTTTTTAAACAAGAGAAAAGAAAACAATAGTTTCTTAATATCAAGTCATCTGAACACCAATTAATTAAATAAAAGAGTAACCTTGAAATTATCTCTTAGTCTCTTCTAAGGCAGGCTTATTCTTCCTGTTTAGATCTAGCTAAAGCCTTATCAATGTATTTCCATTGGCCATGTTAAAGTATAACCTAAATAAAATTTTCTGTGAAATTTTATTCAGTTTATTCTTTAAATATCTTACTTTAAATAACAGTCTTACTAAGACTTTTAAATATTTTAGTTTTACTATGAAAAAAATTAAAATTACTCCCTAGGTCACTCTGCAACACAACAAATTATTTTTTTCCCATTTTTTTATCGGAACATTATAGTTGTACATTACGGTGCAATTTATTGTTACATATTTGAACATGCAAGCAATGTAACAGTATAATTTGGCCAACATCATTTGTCAGTATTTCCCCCTTCCTTCCTTCCCCCCACCCCGCATCCCTTTCCTCTACTGTAACAGAAAATAAGAAATCCTCTTTCTCAGAAGTAAAACATGTTAATAGTATAACATAAATGTATCCACGTGCATCTTACTTTAACATCTACATGACAGGATATTTTATTTCTACCCTGAATGAGATTGAAGACCAAAAAAATCACAAAATCTGTGCAATATTGGCAGGAAGTTACCTCACTACAAGCAAATAGTGTTCTGCACTGAGCCAGAACAATATTATCTCATACCAACATTTTTGGATACATAGATGCATCTAACACATATCCATATTCCTCTCTTGAGCAAGCTTCTCAATATACAAAAGTAAAAAGAGAACAAGTTATTCTTCTGCAAAAGTTTGACAAGAAAACTAATGGGTCCTAGTTGGATAATAGCATCTCCCACGATTCCCACCCCTGTAAAGAGAAGTTGCAGATTTCAAGGGGCTTTTCTTGGGCATAATTGTACTTCTCATACATCCATCTTTATAGCAAGTTCTCACAGATTTGGTCTCACAGTCTATAGAAAGAAACTGACATTTACAATGCACAATCAATTATTTGGAAGTCAAGCAGAGGCTAAATCCAGGATTCTCCATCATATCCTTACACAGATGCCATAAATGTCATGTAACACTGGACCACTTGGTAGGATGCCTGGGCAAGACAGGAAGAGTTTCTCTTGTGGATGTTTTGGGTTGACAGTGGCCTTTAGCTCTGAGTATTTTTAACTACACAAACCCCACTCAATAAAAATCTCAGAACTGATCCTATAATTACAATTATCCCTCTGTTGAACGGTAAAATAATTAGGTGCCTACAGAACACAACCCTTGTTCTTTCCCTTTAAGCCTTGTTCCATGTGGAAAGTCCATTTTACAGAAGAACCATAAATTTTTTTTAAAAAAAAAATTTAAAAGAAAAAAACAGCCCAGCATATCAGCTGCAAGTGTTATCAAACTCCTACTCTAATTCCAGGGTTGTGGATTAAAGTGTTTCTTATCTACCATTCCTGGCAGAGCCTCCCTCTATTCTTGCTTTCCCTTAAAATCACAAACCAATCCATATGCATACACAGCCTGCCCTGTTACTAATGTCTGGAAATCACCAGTTAGAACAGGTTAAAACATCTGTGTGGCTTATGCCCTTCATTAAGTTTCCATTAAAATGGTCCACATTATAGGAATCTCTTTAAACATAAACTACGAAACTTTTCAAAGGAAAGTGGGGGCAGTAACAGTTTACAGCTACACTGAAATTAAGCCTTCAGTGTTCAAAATCCCACAGACGCTACCAATTGGGAGAAAAAGTGCCAACTCCAGATGATAGCAGAGCTGAAAGCTGAGCAAGAGTTCAAGCTCTTACACAAAGACACATCAAGGAAAAAACACTTCAGACCAATATCCCTGATGAACATAGACGCAAAAATTCTCAATGAAATTCTGGCAAATTGCATACAAAGATGTATTAAAAAAAATAGTGTACCACAATCAAGTGGGATTCATCCCAGGGATGCAGGGTTGGTTCAACATATGGAAATCAATAAACGTAATTCATCACATTAATAGACTTAAAAACAAGAATCATATGATCATCTCAATAGATGCAGAAAAAGCATTTGACAAAATACAGCACCCCTTCATGTTAAAAACACTAGAAAAACTAGGGATAGTAGAAACATACCTCAACACTGTAAAAGCTATATATGCTAAACCCAAGGCCAGCATCATTCTAAATGGAGCAAAATTGAAAGCATTCCCACTAAAAACTAGAACAAGACAAGGATGTTCTCTTTCACCATTTCTATTCAACATCATCCTTGAAACTCTAGCCAGAGCAATTAGACAAAAGAAAGAAATTTAAGGGATACAAATAGGTAAAGAAGAATTCAAACAATCACTATTTGCTGATGACATGATCCTATAGATCCCAAAAAATTCCACCAGAAAACTTCTAGAACTAATAAAATAATTCAACAAAGTAGCAGGATATAAAATAACACTCATAAATCAAATGCATTCCTATACATCAGCGATGAATCCGCTGAATAGAAATTAGGAAAACTACTGCATTCACAATAACCTCAAAAAATAAAAAATTAAAAAATACCTGGGAATCAATCTAACAAAAGAGGCGAAAGACCTCTACAATGAAAACTGCAGAACACTAAAGAAAGAAACTGAAGAAAACCTCAGAAAAGATATCCCATGCTCTTGGATAGGCAGAATTAATATTGTCAAAACGGCCATACTACCAAAAGCCAATATGATTCTGCAACATGTACACTCAGAAAAATGAGAAATTACATGCCATCTATGTATATCAAAGTGCATAAATGCATTCTACTGTCATGTATAACTAATTAAAACAAATAAAAATAACTAAATAGTTCAATGCAATTCTTATTAAAATCCCAATGACATTCCTCATAAAAATAGAAAAGGCAGTCATGAAATTTATTTGGAAAAATAAGAGACCCAGAATAGCTAAAGCAATCCTTAGCAAGAAAAGTGAAGCAGAAGACATCCCAATAACAGACCTTAAACTACAGAACTATAGTAACAAAAACAGAATGGTATTGGCACCAAAATAGACTTGTAGACCAATGGTACAGAATAGAGGACACAGAGACAAACCCATGTAAATACAGTTATCTCATACTAGACAAGGGTGCCAAAAACTTTCACTGGAGAAAAGATAGCCTGTTCAACAACTGGTGCCAGCAAAACGGGAAATCCATATGTGGCAAAATGAAATTAAACCTCTACCTCTCACCCTGCACAAAAAATCAACTCAAAATGGATCAAAGACTTAGGCACTAGAACAGAGACCCTGTGGCTAACAGAAGAAAAAATAGACCCAAATCTTCACTATGTCAGCCTAGGATCTTACTTCCTTAACAAGACTCCTAAAGCATAAGAAGTAAAATCAAGAATCAATAAATGGGATGGATTCAAATTAAAAAGCTTCTTCTCATCAAAGGAAACAATAACCTGAGGAGAAAGCCTACAGATTGAGAGGAAATCTTTTCTACATCACCTCCAATAAAGCGTTACTCTCTAGAATATATAAAGAACTCAAAAAACTTAACACCATAAAAACAAATAACCCAATCAATAAATGGGCTAAGGAACTGAACAGACACTTAACAGAAGAAGAAATACAATTGATCAACAAATATATGAAAAAGTGTTCAAAATCTCTAGCAATTAGAGAAATGAAAATCAAAACTACTCTAAGATTTCATCTCACTTTTGTCAGAATGGCAATCATCAAGAATAGTCAATAATAAATGTTGATGAGGATGTGGTAAAAAAGGTATACTCATACATTGCTGTTGGGACTGCAAATTGGTGCAGCCACTATGGAAAGCAGTATGGAGATTCCTCAGAAAATTGGAAATGGAACCACTATTTGACCCAGCTATCCCACTCCTTGGTTTATACCCAAAGGAATTAAAACATCAATGTTTTTAGCAGCTCAATTCACAATAGCTAGACTGTGGAACCAACCTAGGTGTCCCTCAATAGATGAATGAATAAATATAATGTGGTATATATACTCAATGGAATATTACTCATCTTTAAAGAGTGAAATTATGGCATTTGTCAGTAAATGGTTGAAGTTGGAGAATATCATGCTAAGTGAAATAAGCCAATCCCACAAAACCAAAGGCCAAATGTTTTCTCTAATATGCAGATGCTAATTCACAATAAGGTAGGGGGCACTAAGGAAGAACAGCATTACCTTAGATTAGGTAGAGGGAAGTGATGGGAGGGGAAGAGAGGGGAGATGTGGGGCTAGGAAAGATAGTAGAACGAAACAGACATTATTACTGTATGTATATATGTGACCACATGACCAATATGATTCTGCAACATGTACACACAGAAAAATGAGAAATTACATGCCATCTATGTATATCAAAGTGCATAAATGCATTCTACTGTCATGTATAACTAATTAAAACAAATTAAAAAACTAAAGAGTTCAAGCTCTTATTAAACAGGTGAGAAAAGATCAGGCTAGAGAGGTGCTGGTCCACACATGTAGACTCACTAGAGGCAAAAAATAAATAAATAAATAAAACCAGTTTTTTTGACTCACAGTTTAGATCTTTCTCCAGGTTACATGTTTTTATTTAGATTTAAAAAGCAAACTCTAGACAAGAAAAGAATCAATACATGCAGAACTTTTGCAAACCAAGAGAAAGATGTGATGCAACAGAAAAATGGCCAAAGGTCACAAATGACTTCTTAAAGGCAATATGAAGGGCCAAAAAATATGCAAATACTCAACTTCAAGATTAAGAAAGACAATTTAAACAAATTTATGCAAATTAAACCAATAATGAGGTATTTTTTAATCTACCAAAGTGATACAAATTAAAAAGACAAATCAATCCCTCATGGTATGAAGGGTGTGTGCAGCAGGCAATTTTATGCATTAATGATAAAGTGACTAGAACACTTTCTTGAAGATTGTTTCACAAATACATATCAAAACCCTTGAATATGTTCAAAGCTTCTGAATATTCTACCATTAGAAATTCATACCAAGAAAATAATCTAACAATTTAACAAAACTATAAGAAATATCTTTGCTTTTTTTCTTTACAATAAAAAATCTGAAGGCAATTTAAATACCCAATAATAGATTATTAAATACTGTATGATAATACTGTGTAATTTTAATACATTAAAATGACATTCAAATTTAATGACATGGAAAAATATTGTTATGTTTTAAGTTTAAGAAAAGACCAATTAAAATGAGGCAGTATGTGGACTGGGGTTGTAGCTCAGTGGTAGAGCGCTTGCCTCATATGCTTAAGGCACTGTGTTCGATCCTCAGTACCACATACAAATAAGAAAATAAAATAAAGATATTTTTTTAAAAATGAGGCAGTATGATTCTGCTTTGTGAAATAAATTATAGATGCATAAACGGTTGCAAAGAAAAAATGCTGAGACGCAGGTACAGTGGTGCATGCCTGTAATCCCAGCAAGTTGGCAGAGCTGTAGCCAGAGGATCACAAGTTCAAGATCATTCTTAGCAACTTAGCGAGACTCTGCCTCAAAAAATAAAAAGGGATGGGGTCATTTCAGTAGTATCTGAACTATATTTAGTACCTTTACTAAAATAAATAATGTGTGTGTGTGTGTGTGTGGTGTGTGTATAAATGAAAAGAAGAGAAAGCAGGCAAACAACCTGAGAAGATAGATCTGAAAATTAGTTGAGTGGGTATTTCTATTTTTGTGGGTTACATTTTTCTGTATTAGTTTAAAATAAGCATATATTCGTTTTGTAATTAGAAAACAATAGAAATAAAGTCATTTTGAAAATATAAAAAGGTGTGAAAAGCAAGAAGCAACAGAACTCACACATCTGCCAACATGCACAGCTCAGGAATGCCTTTACATTCAAAATGAGCTCCAAAAATAGAGGTACATTTCCCTGATCCATTTTTTATCATAATAGAATACCTGAAATGGCTTATAATGTTTTTAACTTAGAAGGAAAGGAAAATTCCCATGGACTTGGTTTCAAATATGAATGACACTCGTTAAATGTGGAATTATGATGATGATGCTAATAATAAAACTATTAAAATAATCCATGAAAATGATGTTTTACCCTTTATGATACTTTTTAAAAAAGATAAGTTTTTCTATTAGCATGCAGAAGGGGTTCTTCATGGAAAAAGCACATAGAGGTCCTGAGAAGAATCAGAATTAGGCTGAATTTTTGTTTCTTTTTTTGGTAAGTATGAGAAGTGACACCTGCTTAAATAGTCACCCACCACTCATAGCCCCCATGCATCTCAAGGCCCCTCCTATGGCACTGCCTTTGAGCTCAGGGTGGGAAGCCTCTGAGAGGCAGACTGATGAGACGTGGTAGCTGGTGGACTGCAAAGAAGAATAAGCAGTATACTATTGTTTTTTGATATTTGCTATCATAGTTGCTATTAGTTTTTCATCTTATTTTTGAAAAAAAATTGGAGTGTGGGGGAGATGCATCTTAAGACTTAGCTGTGAATAATTTTCAACTGAAAATTATAGCATGATTCAGGATTTGGGAACAACTCCACTTTACCCTCTGCTAGAAAGTATTTTTTTTCTTAACTAAATGACTATAACTCTTCAAATTACTGTTCCATCTTCTGTCATTTAAAACTAGATAAAATAGGACCTTTTATTCTTCATGTTTTACCCTCCAGAAGGTTTTGATTCTCTCCAAGGATCTGTAAGTCTTTGTTGTTAGCCAGTTACACTTTTTCAAGCAAGCTTTCTTCCCATGCCTGCAAAACCAGCCTCTCCCCGTTTCTCCCTTTGTTTTGCTCATGACGTGTGATTTGCCTCTGAACTGTATGTCTGTATTATTAGCTCCAGAATGACAGTGCTGGCTCTCTGCCTACTTGCCCCAGGGACTGTGGAGCAAACATATTAGTGAAGGATGATACCTCAAAATGACCCAGTGGTGTCTAATTTTAACATGTAATGACAATTTTTAAAGTAAATGCATGGAGGTTAGGGAAAAGGTTCACAGCTGATAATAAAAGGTAATGGAAAATTAATGCAAGAACATAAAATGCTTCGATTAACCTTTCTCAAATGCAGTAAATATCAGAAGTTCTCTCTGTGGCCATTGGCTAAAGAGGTTCCAATTTAATGTGGAATCTGTCTTCTACTACATGTAAAGGGGTCAATTAGCTGCTGAAGACCAGAAGCTCCTTAAGCTCTTTCTGGTGCTGAAGACCCCAAAGACATCTTTAAAGAAAAGCTCCCATGTGTAATTCCACTTTGACTTTCATCTCCTGTTGATCAGCTCCAGGCATAGTCAAGAAACTCTTCAACTATTTCCAGCTCTGTCCACCACACCATTTGGAATCTTTTCTCCTGCTCATGAAGTCCCTGAGCATCTATTTAACCTGACTCAGTCTTCACTCAGCCCTCTGCCAGGTGACATGTAAAAAGATCTGGATAAATAAATTGTAACAAATACACCTAATGATCTCATTTTATTTTCATACCAACTCTGAAAGGCCCCCCTTCATCCTGCTTTTATAGATTAGTGAGACTGCACAAGAGTTAATTTACTTGCTTTATCCTTGGTCATCCATGCCAGCGGAGGTAAACTTTAATTAAAGCTTCCCCCCGCCCCGCCCAATTTTAAATCCATCATTCTTTCCTGTGATGTCATTCTATATCTCATGGGATTGACACATGATATCTTCCAGAGAGTGTGCACATGTTTATAGAGGACAAACCCTGGGCTCGATGGAATGAATATTTAAATGGTAGAATTTCAGGCAGAAATATTTCACAAGTTCTTGGTGATACAAATAATACTCAGCAACAATGTGACCTTACTCAGTCACTTAACCCAAAAGGTCCTACCTGCTCCCTGCCCTTCATAAGCTTTCTCTATACACAGCTAAAAAGCTTGACATCCAATGCAGGACCCAGACTATTTCCCTTCTTATAGAAGATTTAAGCTGCATTTTGAAGATGCTGAAACTGAAGTTCACAGAAGCTCGATGCAATGTGTAGGTCAAAGAGTTTTAGAAATCTAGTGTGCAGACTTCTGGTCTGATAAGACCAAAGATGGGTGAGTGATAGGGTCTATTAAAAATATTAATCTTGTGCCAATAAGTGAATTTAATTAATACAAATCTGTAAATAAACAGCACAATCCTAAACATAAGGAAAAATAATGTAAAAAATGAAAAGCATGAAAGAGAAGATTGCAAAATAAAACTGGAAGAAAATATTTCCAAATGTTAACAATGGTTTTGACTAGAGACATATTACAGAAGACATTTTTTTTGGGGGGGGGGTCGTATACCTGGGATTGAACTCAGGGGCACTTGACCACTGAGCCACATCTCCAGCCCTATTTTGTATTTTATTTAGTGATGGGGTCTCACTGAGTTGCTTAGCACCTCGCTTTGCTGAGGCTGGCTTTGAACTCAAGATCCTCCTGCCTCAGCCTCTCAAGCCACTGGGATTACAGGTGTGCGCTACTGTGCCCAGCTACATTTTTCTTTTCTGACTTTCAACTTTTCTACAATAAACCACACTAATTTCACAATGTGAAAAAGAAAAGATTGTCATATACTATTCAACTCTACTTCCACTAGTAGGCCTCTGCATTAATGGAGACTCATGACTTGTGAAGGTAAAATAGTAATAGGAACCTAAAACAGTATACTTACCCACCAACTGTGGGAGAGAAGAAGCCTCCCGGTCAAGCATGATCGATCCTTTCTCCATACATGTCCTAAGCTCAAATAAGCTGTGTAGGGACAACGTGGCCACATGGGGCTTACTCCACCTCTCCCCACCTTGTTCCACTTTTTCTTCAAACTTAATCCACCTAGGAAGATGAACATAGTGAATAATAATTAAAATTGCTCCAACTTCCTCTAGAAATAGCAATGTCAACCCCTCCATTTCCACTCTTACCAGAACTTTCTTTTTTATGTCTCATTTTGTAAAGTTTTAATAGCTTACTCTATCATTTATTGCATTACCTTCTGGAATACACCCAGAGTCATAGACCACTCCTCACCCTACAGTTAGAGAGAATAAAAGTAACCAAAAAGAGACAAAACATCTTTGTTTTTATACCTGTCCACATGTAACCATGAAAACACCAAGAATGATTTTTTTTTAAAAAAAAACAATTTTTTTAAGAGAGAGGGAGAGAGAGAGAAAATTTTAATTTTTTTTTTTTTTTTTTAGTTCTCGGCGGACACAACATCTTTGTTTGTATGTGGTGCTGAGGATCGAACCCGGGCCGCACGCATGACAGGCGAGCGTGCCACTGCTTGAGCCACATCCCCAGCCCCCCAAGAATGATTCTTTAACTAAACTTTTTAAATAAGGTAGAAAAATATGCATCTCAAAATTCTCCATGTGGATAGAACCTACAATGTATAAAAATAGCCACCACCATGAGGATCTTATTGAGACTTCACAAGGCAGGTTCATATAAGGTAAAATATTAGTGATGAACCAATATTTATCTCAAACAGTTGGAAACCCTGATGTGTCAAGTGGTGAAATGAACATAAAGTTTCCCTTTGTTGATGCTTAACGGAGGGTCATCATGTTTGCTGTGTCTTTGTTTATTTCTCAGCTAACAAATGCTCCCTCTCATTGAGATTCTAACAAGCTTTAGCCTGCAAGTCTGGTTCCATGTGTGTTTAAAAATACACAAGCTCAGTGAAAAACAGATCTACTCTGATAATAACAGATCTTCTATAAACCTTAGCAATGGAACAAACAGCCATAGCTGCTGCTTTCTAACACTCTTAGACATTTTGATAATACGGCAATATTCAGAAACAAAAAAGTTCAGGTAGAGCAAAGCACATTTGGTAGTTTTTATATCCCATACATTACACATGGACTGTCCTACACTGTTAAAGGAAACAGAAAAGCATCTTTGATTGCTATACATCACCATCCAAAAGAACACACTGCTTTGTTTTATTCAAACATTCTGAAAGATACTGGATAAAAGAAAGAGGGAGTTAAAAATTGTTTTTTCTACATTTTTCACCCAAAGGTTTAATGATTGAAAAAATGTTTTCCTAGAAAAAGCTAAACACTCACCTAACTCACCAAAGATGAGAACAAAGGGCAGAGATCAGAGGAAACTCTATATAAAGTATTATTTATAGAACTCTTACCAACCCCAAAGGAAAGGGAAACACACATCAGGAGAAACCGAGTGAAAATAGATCAAGTGATCAACCACAAAGCCAGATAATATTTAGAATTTAATCAAGACCAACACAAATATGATTCAGAAGTATTCTGCCATATTCAAAGACTCTCCCTCCATGCTCTTGTCATGAAGCCCCAAAGAGCCAGGCAATTCCTGTGTCAGTGGTAACCCCATCCCAATCTCACTCAATTCTAAGACCCCTGCTTTTTCCCCTTTTATCCCACACCCCAAAAAAGGTAAGCAGTGGAGATTTTTAAATGTTTTCCCCAAGATTTAAAAGGTCAACAACAACGCCAAAGAGGCTCTGAAATTCAGAACGAAACCTAGTTTATTTCTACAAGAGTGGTTGACTCACACTCCAGTAAAGAATCAATGAGTCCTAATACTCTTGCATGCATGTGGGTGTGTGTATATGCACACCTGTGATTGAATTAGCACTTCTTCATTTTGGTTTGAATGAGAGCCAGAGAAATAGAAGGGGCTAGGAGAAGAAAAAAATGACAGTTTTACATCACACACTTATAGAATTCTATAGGTGTAACCAAAACAATAAGAGGTAATTAGGTAATCAGGGTTATTTCAAGAATAATCATTTTATGTAGTATGATACATTGGTTAACTTTAGGTATAACACTTTTTCCAACTTGTTCATAAATTCTTTAACCATGTTTTTTGGTAATGGTTGTGGGAACTGTATTTACATCTGAGGTTATAATTTATTGCCCAAGTTCAGACTCCAGTAGACAGAAGATATGGTATATGAAATCAAGTCAGGGTTACAGAGTTATATAATTTATAGAGAGTGTAGTGATTCCTCATTTTCTATTTCTAAGTATATTCTTATTAAATGACAGGTAGATTCTTTGGTGGTAGATTCAAGCCCAAGATGAATGACAAGAATCAACTAGAAATTATTTAAAATAAAATATCTTATATGTCCTCATTACCCTAATATCCTTACTAAATGAGTGTCTCCTTTCTATTAATTTCCATCAACCTATACTGCTAAACCTGTTCCTTAAAAGAAAACTATGCATCACTGATGTCCAGTATTTGACAGTGGTTCTTTTCTGCCATTACCCTTGCTATGGTATGAATGTTTATGTTCCCTGACATTCATATGTTGAAATCTTACCCCCAAGGTGATAGTATTAGGAGGTAAGCCTTTGGAAGTACTTTGATCAGGAGGGTGGAATCCTTGTGATTTGGATTAGTGCCCTTATAGAGAGAGTCCCAAGTAGACAGATAGCCTCTTCTACTATGTGAGGATACAGCTAAAAGGCACTTTACATGAGAAAGCATCACCCATCAGACACTACTGCTGCTGTGGCCTTGATCTTGGACTTCCCAGCCTTCAAAACTGTGAGAAATACATTTCTGTTATCTATAAGCTACCCAATCTATGATATTGTATTACTGCAGCCCCAAAAAGGCTAAGCCAATCCTCAGCTGCCCAAACAAAATAAATTTAATAAAATTTTTGTTAAAAAAAGAGAAGCAAAATCACTGGATTCCTTTGTGGCCTGCCTCTTATGCATTCCTCTCCATAGTTAACAGTGTAAGGAACCTGATTGGACTTAAAATATGAATTTGAAGACATTTTAAAAGTACATTTTAAAAATTAGAAATCATAAATCCCAACTAAGTTGGAATTACAAAATAGCATTACTCACCCTCCTGGATTATACTAGCACTTTAGGTCAAGATTTAACCATAAAGGAATGGAAACATAAAGTCTTAAAACTAGCCTTTGCTTAAAATCTACATTCCTAAGGGATAAATATTATCTCAGCTCAGCAACTACTTCACTTTGCCTTCAGTAAATATTGAGAGCTATGATGATGTCATATTATAGCACAGCTAACAGCATAACGGAACCCTGGGATAAGGCCTATGAAATTCCTTCAGAATGTACTATTTCAATTGTTCAAGGAACAATTATACTTTCAACATATTCATTTAAGCATAAAAGAATGGTGTGCCCATATAAACAGATTGTTTGCAGATAGTTTCATTCTGGAAACTGCACGCACTATATCTATCTACCTCACATACCAAGGACAAACTTGTGGGAAAAAAAAAAAAAAACTGAACACTACTCAATTCAAATCAGAAACCATTAAAAAGAAGGCTAAGGCAAAAGACCAAAGTTCAGCCTGAGTGCCAATGAATCTGTAAAGGTGCTTTATAACCATGCAATTATGTTTTTTAAAAAAAAACAGACGTTTTTATTGTAGAGTGTACTAAAAGCCACTATGTACCCTTCATAATGACTATGAGTAACCATATATTTGGAATAAGTTTCTGACTTTTCCTCTTGTTTCAGTACTTGACATATTACAGGAAAATTAATTTCAAAAGTTGGCTTTTTAAATGCTTGCAATTACAAAACCGTTGTACCCTTGGAGGGGAGTTTATTAGGTGAAGTTTATTTATTCCAAGGTCTTAGAAGAATAATGATAAAGTACTTTGCAGTTTACCACACTTTGAGTGACTGCCAACCAAACAGCATTTCACTCGTTTGTTGAAGAAACAGAAGGTCCACTGGGAATCACTGGATTTTGCAACTTTCCAATCATATGATTAAATATAATTAAGAAAAGACAAGACCTCTAACTTAAAAACCTTCCAGTTTTACAGTGGAAAATAGACACGACCTTTGCACTAGAATATAATCCAACTACATAAAACTATTGAAATGATACTAAATTTCTTGCTAATTAATAAATGCCTCATTACATATAAAAGAAGTCAATGCTAGTACATACCTGGGATAAATTATGATTTTAAGGAGAATTCTTAAGTTTCTAGATGGACTGTAAAAATTATTGCATATAATTATCTAGATGTAACTACATATAATTACATAGATGATTAGAATTCTCAAGCCTTTTTCTTACAGAAAAAAAAATGGTCTCAAATGGAATTTCCCAGAGTAATTCAGCACGGAAAGAGAGAGAAAGTGTAGATTGGAAAGAAAGTGATCCATGTCAAAACCCACAGGGTCAGTGTACCTTCTGATGTGTCATGGCCATGACCTTAAATTAGGTTCCCCAGAGGTGAGTCAGGTCAATCAGCAGAAACACAAATAGGTGTTCCCTTGTGCTGTCCCACTGGACATGAAACATCAACACCCTTTCCCTTTGTTGGCTCCTATTTGTTGAAACTGTGATGGCTTTTCTTTTTACCCAGGTTTGGCAGTACTGTTTGAGTTATGCTGGATAAATGATCTTTAACACATATTCACTTAATAGTAGTGAAGTCCAGCACTGTCCATCTGAAAATTTACTGAAGCAAAGCCAAAAAACAATAATCACATTTGCAGATATATTCCTAGCTCAAAGAAATAAAGAGTTGGGGGGACGGGGGGGGAGTCCCTTCCTCCAGCTGTTGGGCCATCACCAAATCTGGGCCACAAATTATTCTTTTTACCCACTTGCTTCATGAACCCACTAGCTGATACCTAGGTTCTTAACAAGAAGCAAGACTTCTGTACCACTTCCAAATGATTCAATTTTAATCACTGCTATCTCACTGAATGTCATTTTTGTAATGAGCAAACATTCAGAAGTACCCTTTTAAAAGAGTCACATTCCTTGCCATTCCATTGATAAGATGCATTGGTGGGGTCTGATAAGTCT